GGAGATGGGCCTGGAATTTGTGAGGTGCAGATCTGGAGAAGCTGACGGTGAGATTTGGCGTTGTGGTTTATATGTGCCGGCCGGAAAAGAAAGGGAAGCAACGCAGCTACGCTTTGACTGGAGGAAGGAGAATAATACTACAGTATCATGTACCTGTTTCTTTTTTGACTCGTAGAGGAGAAGAGGAAGAGGAAGAGGAAGAGGAAGGTGAGGAGGGATCTTTGTGTTTTACTTCGGTTTGATTTCTTACGCTCTGTTTTGCGAGTGAAATTGAGCCACATGTCTTGTTTTAATTTGACGATTGCTAATGAGTACCTTAATAATAAATTGATTAATGAATGATAAAGAGATAATAAAGAGAGAGAAATAGGAAGGAGAAATTTTAAAAAATAAAAAATAAAAGAAGAGATATATGAGATTATATATAATTAGTATTTCTCTTGTTGTCTTAGCAGATATTAAGAGAAATTGTGGACTTATACGTTGGTTTGACCCAGAGAGGCATTTATCTTTTCTGACCTTTTAATTTTGGATTATTCAAAGATTTATTTTTTAATTTATTAGTTAAATCGATGTAGAGAGAATATATACTGAGAGTATGTTCTTAATATTATTTTAAGAATAGCTAAATAAAATAAAAAATAAAGAGATACAGAGGAGGGCCCCGACTCTCCACTATGGTGGCAACCAGACGAGATGGCCTCGTTTTATTTAATTTTGGAGGACGTCATATAATTACAATTTTCCCGGGAAGTGACTTCAGGCTAACACTACCTTTCCTTTGTTTATTCCTTCCTCTTCGATGGTGTTGTCTTTGGTCTTTGGTATCTAGTATTCGATTAATTAATTAATTAGCCATTAATCAATGCATCCGATCCCTTTGAACTTTATTACTATGTTACTGCTTTCTGTATGTGTGTGTGTTCAAATGTGTTTTTTAATAATAAAAATATAATTATAAACTCAAAATATAATAAGATGATATAGATTATATTTTTAAAAAAATACAAAAATAAAATTATATTAGATCAATTCGAGTTAATTTATTAAATTTATAACATGAGTCATGAGATCATAATAACCATATAAAAAACAAAAATCAATTCCTAATCAACCTAATATCTAATAATTGATATTAAAAAAAAATACTAAAAAAAGGATAAAAACTTAAGTTAACTCGAGTTAACTTGTTAAACCTGCAACGTAGATCATAAGGAGATCGAGATAACCTTATACAAAACAAATAAAAAAATTATGAAATATAATTTCCAACTAATTCAATGTTGAAAAATAAAATTGATGAAAAAATCAACTAAAAAAAACAAAGTCAACCTAGGCTAACATGTTAAATTTACAATATAAGTTATAAAACTAATATAACTTCATAAAAAGCACATTAAAAAAAAAATTATGAAGCTTCATTTCAAACATATCCAATTTTAAAGGTTGAAATCAAAAAAAAAATCCATGAGGCAAGGTAACTTCATTAAATTGAAAAAAAAAACCCATAAAACTTAATTTTCAAACAACCTAATGTTGAAAGGTAAAATTTAAAAAATACTAAAAAAAAAAAATGAGTTGTTGGAGAGTGAAATTGAAAAAAAATTCAATAAAAAAATATCATAAAACAATTAACCAAGTTAACCCATATTAACCTCCCAAACCTTCGACTTAAATCATAAAATCAAAACAACTTTATAAAAAACAGATAAAAAAATTATAAAATCCTAAAAATAAACTAAAAAAATAAAAATAAAAGTTAATCCGGGATAACCTGCTAAATATACAATTCTAGTCATTAGATCAAAATAACCCAAAAAAAACAAATAAAAAACAATTAAAAGGCCCAATTAAAGATATTGTATTAAAAAATAATATAAAAAATAAATAAAATCAATTCAGATTAACCTACTAAACCATTAACTTTATTCATGAGATTAAGATAATTTTATAAAAAATAAATAACTCAATTTCCAACTAGTCTAATATTAAAAGATGAAATTAAAAAAAAATCAATTAAAAAAATTACCCAAGTTAAAATATTAAACTCGTGATCTAGATCATGAGATTTGAATAAATTCATGAAAAATAAATAAAAACAATTAAAAGACTACATTTCCAACAAATCTAATTTTAAAGTTTAAAATCTAGAAAAATAAAATTAAATCTATTAGACTAGAATATAACATAATATAAAAAAAAATCTAAAAAATATATAGAGCATAATTCCTAAAATAATCTAATATTGAGATGTAAAATTAAAAAAAAAAATACAAAATATATCCCAATAATTAATATTTTATAAATATTTTTATAATAATTTATCCACACCTTTTAGCAAAATAACAAAGCTCTTTAAGCAACAAATTTTTAGCAAATCCCCCGATCTAATGATAAAAAGAATTCTCTTGTCTTGTAATTTGGCTGGTTTATTTCCAATCAAAATGGCTCAAATCTAGCTGTAGCATCGCCGGATGGATTGATAGGTATGGCATGATCCAGGAACTAGTATGTAAAGGTAAGTTATTAGATGAACTGTTTTTATTAAAATAATTTATTTTATTTATTTTATAAAAAATTTTTAGTATTAACTTGATTAAATTTCATCCTGTTAATCAAATTACAAAAAACTTAAACAAATCAATCAAGTTTTATCATATCAATATATTTTAAATTTAAAATTCACTCGAGCCTGATATGGTGTTATATCACATATGCATTATTGATAGAAAAATTATAAATTAGTATCTTTAGTTTTAAAAATTAAGTAATAACTTTCTCAACCAGTGTTGACACTACTTAATTTAATAATATTCTATTCTAAAAAAATATATTCTTTTCTTATTAATTTTTTTATATTATTTATTTATTTATTCCCTTTTCTATTTATTAAGAAAAAAATGAAAAAAAATATAAAATAGATAAAAAAAACTATTTAATCAAAAATAAAGAAATTATTTAATTTATTTTACAAAACTATAAATACTAACTCTCAATCTGCCATTAAAAACATATTTTAAACCATAAATAAAGTAGCTTATTATCCCTCACATTTGGCTTTTTGAGAGCATGAAAAGTAATGAACCTTGAAGCTTATGAACATTATAAAGAAAGTTAAATAGCGCGGTGATTTTACCGTAGTTATAGATAAAGATTATTATAAATTATGAAAATAAAATTTATATGGATATGTTATGCACTTGGTGAATGTTTTAGTATTTTCTACGTTGTATTCTTTTAGATTTTTAATCAAAAAATTACAAATTTGTATTTCACATGCACTTGGAGATGTATAAGACACTTCTTAGCAATCAAATCTGGTAATCCGCTGTATAACTAGATACGTAGATATGCCCTCTTTTATGTGGTGCGACGAGTGTATTGGATTGTCATCAATGATCAATTGTTGGCATATTTTTTTTTTATTTTTTCTCTTATAATAATTAAAGTGTATAATTATTCTCTATTTGTTTATTTTTTTGTCAGGGTCTAGCATAGGTTGTCAGATCCAAACTACTTGGGTTTGACAAACACACCAAATTCAAGATTCTTGGGTTTAACAATAATGTGAGTCAATAATGTGAGTCCTAACAGTCTTGGGTCTAGCAACCATGTTTGGTGCTAGACCCAAGCGCAAATCTAGCTTGGTTGCTAGACTTAGGTGTGGACTGGCAACCATGTACAAGTGTATTATGGACTAAGACACAGTCCATTGTATACTTGCACAATGAATTTTCCAAGCAAGTCTTGAGATGGGGCCAATGTTGTCTTTTTACATAAAGTTAAATTATCATTTTGCTTTTTGGTTGAAAAAATTGAAACCCTAGTTATGGGCGTATTTCAATATTATTTATAGGCTAATTTGTTTTAAATGTTTTAGTAAGAGTATGGTAGTCTTTTAATGATTATTTACATAGTAAAAATATTATTATCCCTAATGTTGATAAAATTAAGACCTATTGTCTAGGGATATTTTAACCTTTCACACATTGTTAATACTTAAAATATATTATTTTTTTCATTGTTTGCTTGTTGTTTATTTGGATCTAACATGAGTTATCAGACTCAAATATCTTATATTTGAAAAACATGTCAGACCCAAGGTCATTGGTGTTAAGTCCAAGAGCCTCTAGTCTCGCAACCATATTTTGTGCTAGACCGAGGCGTGGTCAGACACTTATGCATGACTGCTAAACCCAATTCGCTTGGATCTAATATGATTGATAGATCTAAAACACTTAAAAATAATTTTTATATATTTAATATTTTTTATATTTTTTTAAAAATTTGATATTAATCGACAGTAAAACACATATTAATATGCTAATAAGAGCATATGGGTTGCTCAGTAATGATAAATTATTTCTTGTTTTTATTTTTTAACTCTATTTTTCTACCTAGTTCCGGTTTTTAATTTCAATTGAAAATTAGAAAATATGTTATTTTTTGAGGCTTTGAACTTTTTACATATAAATAATTACAAAACATGTTCAAAATATAATTTTCTGATTATAGAGTAATTTAAAAAGGAAAGTACTAGTCAAAACATACTTTTTTTCGTATTGCAAGGCAAGGATGTACGGCCATGCTAATTGCTCTCTTCGACAACCCGGATATTTTCTCCATTGCTATGTTACGAGACCTCTTGCGCTTCGATCCAAGCAATTTGTCCATTCACAGTACAAAACAAAACAAAAAAAAAAAAAGGAGGAAGGGTGGAATATCCTCTTCTCA